AATTCGATACTAGTATTTACAAAATTTATAAGAGCTTTGCATTCTTCGATATTTGTTGCTTTATCTTTAGCACTTTGACTAAAATAGTCGTAGAATACCAAAATTTGTCTAGCTGGAAAGAAAGTCAGGTAATAATATTTTTCCTGCGCTTTGTTCACAATCTTTTTCCTAAAGTGAAATATAATTAATGAATAATTAATGATAATTAATTAATGATTTTGATTAATAAAAAGAGTTTAAGTTTAATAATACCATTCATCTAAAGCCACCCTTAATTCATCAAGTAAACCTTCCATTTCATTGATTCCTTTTACATCTTGATTAAATCTCCTATATTTAAAATGTCCCATTTGAATCAATTCCGAAGCCAATCCACAAATCTCTTGTGCCAAATCAACTTGATCCACAAATTCAATCATTGTCTTTTTAGCCATATCATGTTGTAATCCTTCCTCTCCAAGACTATCCACGTCCAAGGTGATGCCAGGTTTTGAAATCAAAAGGGCTCGTCCTCGTAAATCAAGCAAATCATTTAGCGTAAACTTTGTCATTTGCTTTTCTAAAGTTCCAGCGAATACTCGGGTTGAATAAGATAAAGTAGCAGTACATTTATCATCATTTTCAAGTCGTTTAAAAGTAAAAACACCTTTTTTAACAGAATTACTAATTCGTTCTTGAGTAATTTCTGTCTTATTATCAATGTTCTTTACTAAATTTTCCAATGCTTTTCTATTACAATTACATAATTCAATTTTTTGACCCAATTTAGGATTTGAATCCACAATCGTTACCAATTTTCTCAAGAGCTTTTTAATGGTCAAAGTTTCATCATTTTTTATTATAGGTACTAAAACTTGATGGACTTGAATTAATGAAGACATTGTTTCTTCCTGAATAAGTCGTTCATCTGATTGGTCATCTACACTATTAATCAAATTTTTTATATTATGTTCAGCTATAGATCGAAGCCATTTAATAAAATCTTGAGACATTGATAATGCTTTAATTAATTCCCAACAATTATCTTTAATATATGATAAGTGTTTGTTGTAATAAGAGAAAAAACCATTAAGCGCACCAAGCCATAAATATTCATTTTCAAGAATCATTAACATAGTACTAAGCCAGCCACCTTTGGTACATAAAACCTTGAACATTAATATAATTCCATTTAATTGTTGAAGCCTTTCAACATATATAGGGAATTGTGTCATATGTATCATTGTTTGTACCAATAGATCGGATTTTTTTATTTGTAAAAAATCAAGTTCATTTCTAATATTCCCTTGATTAACTCTTTGCCAAAGTATAATTTGACTTGAACATTTAAGAGTTTTCCAATTTTCAGTTTGATATTGTCGAGCAAATTTTTTATATTCTTCATTTACTGATGGTATAATTGATCTGACCAATTGTTCCATAGAAACGGGCCCTCCTTCAATTCTCATTACATTATCAAAAATATTTCTAAAAGTTTGTGAATCAATTAATTTGTATACCATATTTGCAGCATCTTCTGAAATCTCATGTTTCTCCCAATGATTTGGTGATTGAGTTTCTTTAAGAGTTAAATTATCTAATTTTGTTGATCTTTCATTTATATCATCAAGAAAAAAATTTAGATCACTAACTTTGTCTTGAGAGCAAAATCGAGTATAAAAAGTATGTAATCGATCTTTTTTACTCAAATAACTCTTGCATTGATCTCTTAAATTATTAATAGTTGATTTATTAATTTTTTCAGAATTAAAAAATCGAATTAATATATCATCTTGATTAAGAAGAAGTCTTTGTAAGAATAGGAAGGTAATAGATTCTTGTGTCAAGATTTTTTCGAAATTACGAATGATACTTTGAGCTTGCTTAATATAAGGATGTGATTTCAATTTTGTAACTTCACCAATTGGATTTAATATCAAATTCCAAAATCTGGAATGACGGAGAAGAATCAATGAGGTAGAAGAAATTTCAGAATCGGATTTATCAGGTAAAGGATGTAAGGTATTCAATTTTTCCACGATATATAATAATATTTCTTCACACAGCCTATTTAATAATGAATTTAATAATAGATATTAGTAAAGTATATAGAATATATGCATTAAGTAATCTGTTTATAAGTGAAAGATATTTACGAATTAGGAACATCCAAAACATCCGATTTACATGCACAAATCTCTTGCATCTTTTGTAACAACGCGTCATCAATATTTTTAACAAGGATTTTTCCTTTCACCATCTGCGCAAATGGTGTAACAAGATCCTGACCAAGTTTATGAAACTTGTGAATATGCTTAGTAGCTTTAAAGATCCTGGTATCACTACACAGATTACAACGATCAATAGCAATTTTGATTAATTTATCCAATATATCTGGTCGATTCTTTATAATATTAAATATATATGATAGATTTTCAAACACATCATGAACGTATTTCCAGTCATCGGAGGCGAAATCAAGAAGAGATAGCATGCTATAATACCATTGTTCACAAATATTGGGAATTTCATCCGATTCAGTTAAATTAGTTAAATTAATAAATTTACTATATTTGTTAAACCAGAATTTAAGCAACGCAGGAAATTTATTTAACAATAATTTGCTCTTTGAAATTGAAATAATTTCAAGTGCTCGAAGATGATGATCTTTTTTCCATTCAAGTTGATAATTTTGTAACATGGAATATATAGCATCTACATTGGAGGTTGTCCATTTATGAACAAAAGTACGTTCTAATAAAGCAAAAGTAGCATTTCGAAATGGATCTGCTACATCTGCCTTGAAATCATTGGAGATTGCATCAAAGTGTTTTTGTAATAATTCTGCAGGGACAGATGAAATGTGGTGTTGTACACGCTCAAGGAATGTTTTTCGCAACAATCTATCTCTAGATCTTGTGTGTTCTATCGAGGCACTCCATACTTTTGATAGTTGATCCATATTACTGCATATCTTCATCATCCACTTTATAAATAATAAATGATGTTAGTTTTTAATTAAAATTTTAATTTGAGCTCACAAGCTCACAAATTCACTAGCTCACAAGCTTACCTTGGCAATTCTACAATAAGTTTCATCAGATTCAATTTTGTTAATACTAGGAGTAACATATTTTGGAAAATAAATGTTAACGAGCGAGTCTGAATATTTTTCGTTAAATTTTTGATTAGAAACACAATCCAAGAAGCTATATTCAGGGTCTAAAGAATGCGCAAACGTAAACATAGCTTTCACCC